TGGCTCATACCCAACTACCGGATTACCTTTCACGGGTAAGCCATACAATATCTCCACGTCCTGTAAAGTGATCGTGCTCTCACCCGTTCTAAAGTGGAATCTATGAGTTTCAGACTGCCATCTCTCAACTAGTGCGGTGATTAAGCTACGATCAATAACAGGCCTATGAGACCTATAAACACCATACAATCCAGATAGTTTAATCACATCTAGGACTCGTGGATGAATAGGATATTCATTTACTAGGTCCCAAAACTTCTCATCACATTTTCTTGTGTTCAAAATCATATTATCATTCCCTATCCATATATCTCGTGACCTATGAGTGAGTTGTCTAGTTAATACAGATGGATCAAGTGGACCGGAATCCAATTGGTATGCATTATTAGCAGCCATAAAATAAATACCTATACAGATGTAAGAATACAACGTAACTTAGAAGCTTTCCTCAAATACTTCATTGACAACATTTTCAATCATATCAATTAAAATATAAGTTTTACTATAAGACTCGCAACTCACAACTGTTGAGAAAATTGAATATCTTCACTCAATTATAGTTTCAAGTACATATAGTTTCTTATCATATATGTGAGCTCAATGTCTGAAAAGACTTAAATGAGTCATGTATCATTTTTTTTCTGAAATGAGAATCATGTCACAGAAATTCCAACAGTGGACCACCTGAATGTTGTATTTCATATTGGGCAACACTTTCTCTTAACAATACAACATTCAAATCATTATTAATCTTCAGTCACAAGACTTGTCTTGATACCAAGTTATGGTGATCATTACAATTTTGACCACAAATTTTGATGAATTTCTAGAATCTTTTTAGCATTTGTGATCGAAAATCTTAAATATTAGTCACCATTTATCTCTGGTACATCTTAAGATAAAAAGATAGGCATAATATAACCATTAACTTGGCACTAACGAATAATTATGCCCTCCAACATTGAATGTGTAGAAGTAAGCACTTAAAATATTATAAAATTGAACAAGTAGACACACGTATCCTACATGACATAAAACATCTAGGATGTCAAGATGATACAAAAAACACAAGAAAATATATACTAAGAGCTAAAGTGACCGAAAATATCTCTATCATTGAAAAAAATTACGGCATAAATTTATATTTTGTATCATAATGTAATTACAAGTTATGTCACTTAATTCTTAAAAAATCTTTGCTAATAGAGGCATATGTTTACATAATTCACCAAGTTATACTGTAAAAAGACATAACTTAATTCCTGAGAACTTATGTCAATAGATACATAAATTCAGTTTTAAAACCAATAAATAATGTTGTAAGAGACATAACCAATAAAAATTCTCTAAACTTAGATATCACACAAAATTAGGTCAACAATAAGAATACTTTGGCCTACAATTTCTTTTAGCAAAAATAGGCATAAAAATTTAAAAAAAAATATTTGAAGAGCCCTAAAATAAAGTAGGGATCACTTTTAACTTTTTGGCGCGAATTCAAATTTATATATCCCAGACAAAATTTGTACTTTGTTGAGCAAAGTGTTACTTTGTACCCCATTGATCATTTAAATTGATACTAATATTATATAAAAGAATTTATTGTGTCGATAAAATCCCTTAAACATTCCTTCTGTTAATTTACAACCCTTTCTGTTTATTCCTATTAATAACTAATAGTTTGAAGAAAATCAGAAGCAAAGTTGTGATGAAGGAGAAAGAGAAGATGTTGCTGCTAAATGAACTTGTTGTAATGCTAACAATGGTGTTAATATTGTTGGTAAATGGAGTAAAGGATCATCGAATTCTTGTCGATACAGATATGGATATAGATGATTTCTTTGCTCTTTTCTACCTTTTGAAACTTAACACATCACAAATGGACTTAAAGTTTTGCATTTTTTCTGATGAAAGCATGTCATGGAATGTAATATAACTTGTAAGGGATGTATTTTCGTATATTGAGAGTTATTTTTTTTGGAGCCAATAAACTATTAACACTATGGACTGATGCAGGACATGATGTAAATCAAGTGTATGATATGCTTTACATAATAGGACGTGACGATATTGTTGTTGGCGTGGGAGGTGAAGGTGGAATACTTCCTAATTGTACCATTCTACCTAATGTTGGTGGATATCTCCCTATAATTGATCAGGTGAACATAAATTTTTCATTTGCTCTACTTTTGGTTCTATTCTGCAAGTCAAGAATCATTTGCTGGTTAGTTAAATATCTTCATAGTTTTTGTTTACTTGAAATCTTGAGTGTGCTAACTTTTCAATGATTTGTTAGGGAAATGCTACAGCTGGTTATTGTAGTTACAGACATGCTATTCCTGTAGATCCTGGAGGACGTTTGGATATCAACTCTAATTTTGGATTCAGAAAGATCTTCCTCCCACAGGTATCATTTTGCATTAAAACTGAATGGAGGATTACTTTGTCTAGCTTCCTTAATCACATTTTTTCTAGTTTTACACAAGAAGAAATAGAATTAGACACTTATATTAAATCCATGGAAAAAACTGTCAAGGACTTAGGGATGCATATGGATCACAGTGTTAGAAGTACCATCAGCTCATTGGATTTTCAATCTTGGCATTTCGAAAAAAAAATAAAAGGATTTACAAAGAGCCAGGCGGAAGAAAAGGGGAGAGATTTCCTCTTTTAATGAGATAGTGAGACAAAAAAATAAAAAACAAGAACTACAACTTTGTAAGAGTTCATAATGCCAGCACCATGTCTTATAAGCTAAAAAATATCAAAGTTTGAAGTTGACAGAAGTTGGAGGTTAGCGCTATATATGTTGTTGCTATAAAAACAACAACATACCTCGTGTAATCCCACAAGTGGGGTCTAACTATTCACCTTTTTTTGATATTAGGAGAAAGTTCACTTCTTAGACAATAAATTTGTAGACACTATACACCAGCGAAAATTTTTGCTGAAACTTTTTAAAGGATAGCTACAAATGACACTGTAAAGAACAACAGGCAGCCCAAAAAGACATTGAAACAATCAACTTCACATGAGCACAAGGAAGCAGTAAACTGTTGCCATCACTAATATTTTGCTAGTTATCATAAAAAGAGGAAAACAGAACTAAAATGTCATTTTTCAACAAAAAGGAAAATAACAAATTCATCAACTATAAGATAAACTAAATCAATGTATGACAAAATTACCTGAATCACAAAAAGAACTCTTCTTTATCAAAGTTTTTTTTTACCTTTTTTAAGCAAATTTGCAGACGTTTTCAAAGTTTCGAAATTTCACCTCCAATCTTTTGCAGTGTGTTTAAACTACAATACTCGATCAACACTCTCAAATCTCTTGTATAGAGCAAAATGATTTCAAATCGAGTAAAGATTAAACATCAACTATGGAAGAGCAAGAAGATGGGTTGGTCTTTCAAATTCGTGCACTCTTCAGATACAGCATTCATCAACTTCATTGTGCCTTTGAAGCTAGATTTGATGCGAGTTCTCTTCTTAATTTTATCTCATGTAACTTGAAGGTAGGTTTGGAGAATTAAGTGGGTTTTCTTGGAGGGTTTTCTTTCCAAATTTTAATATAACTAAATTGGAGGTTTTTTGTTCTAGTGAAGGAGTAAATGATATATGCTTAAAACGTTCTTCACAATAACGTATTAGAGTTAAAATGTAATTTTCAGTTACGTATTATTATTTAACGTCGTTAGTAGTCCGTCCCTTTTCTCATTAAATTTTTTAAAATAAAATAAAGTTTTCAAAAATAAATAACGTATAAAACGTTACTGTGAACCACGTTTATACTAGTTTTGTAAAAAAAAAATTAAAAATATACTATTTTGGTTAATTGATTTATAAAATGACTTATTTTGATAAAAAATTCTACAATTAGCAATACCAAATTTTAAATTCTTTTTTTTCTCCACGTGAGAACAACGACCAAAAGAAAACCCAGAAGTCGCGTCTAACAGCATACATGATCCAATGCCCATCCAATTAACCTACAAAACCCATAACCTAGTGTATCACTTCTCCATCTGATTTTCCCTTTTTTTTTTAGAAGAAATCTCCATCCCTTCTTTTTGTTTTCTTGAAAAGGAACAATGAATTTGAATTTCAAAGTCAAAATTTCCCCCTATATAAATAACCTTCTTAGTATTCATTGAAAAGGAGGAGGACAACAATTACTTACTAAATGATGAGGAATAAGTCTCTAGTTTTCCCTCTAATTGGAATTTTCCTGAGCTCATCGGAGCTTCACTTGTGGTGGGGTCAATACGCTGCCCCGGGAAACGTGAGAATCTCGTCACTACTATGTTTTGTTCTGAGTCCGAATAGATTTTTCCTCTCCCTTGCATTCTGAGAAGGTCGTAAAGGCCCATACCTATACATATGGAGTCAGCCTATTTGTCAACTTAATGACCACGATGAAAAGGTAGCAGTTTATAGGGGCTGGATTAAGTTGCAGGTCCTAAAGTCCAAGGGAATGCACTGTTGTATAAGACCCGTATACACTCATTATACATTGATATATAGGTCTAAAGAGCGGAATATAGGTCCTAAGTATAGATACGGGTGCTGGAAGGTTGAAATGGGTTGTATACATTTGGAATACAACCATATATACAACATTTGGGCCAAAATACAGCATGTATACGTCATTATACATTTACTGTAGTATAATCACATAGTGTAACATCTAAATTACATTCTATCCCTATTAATTTTCAATTTACAAAAATCCCTTAAAACATGAGGCACCCGGATACATACCTATCTTTTGGATACATTATATGTGATTTATTATAAACAACTGTTTGTTGATTATAATTATTTTTAATCAACAAATCAGGTAAAAATTATTTTTACTTATTTTAATTTTCTTAATTAATGCCCCTAAATATATTTTTACTTATTTTAATCTCCTTGATTAACGCCTAACTGATTCTTAATCAGTCCATATCCCAATAGGTAATAAATTCACAAATATCAAATCTCTAATTTACATCTTCTTCATTGAACAACCATTAATCTCAAAAAAGTGATAATCTTAAAAAATTTAAAGAAGTTGCTGATAAAAAAGATGAATATATCGATTTTGTTGAGATATTCAAAGAAATTGGGGGAACGGGGTAAGTTATGAATATTATTAAATTGATGAAATCTCTAATTTCTTTTCGTTGTGCTTGGTATATTTGTATTTTGTCCATTCAAAATTGATAAGATTCAAGCTAAATATTTTCATCTTATTGAGTTATTCGGGAGTCTGAAAAATTGAGATTAGATATGAACGGTATCAAAGTGAAAGTGAAGCAAATGTATAAGGATAAAACAATTTTGATGGGTGCAATGACAAAACACAAAATAAAACATAATTTCAATTTTGAATTAAAAGATCTGACAGAAAAAGGTTTGTGATTTTGTAGTATTGTGTTGTGTATCAAATCATCTGCTACATTATGTGTTATAGGTTTATACATTATATATTTTGCATATATTGGTGTTTGTATTTGAATTGTAATGTGCGTTTATTACAATTAATCAGTGCGTGTATTGTAAGTTTGAAAATATATAGTGATTTGTTTGTGATAAATTATTTTGTATATGAATAAATTGGTAAATCTACATTATTTGTTGCAAGTTGATACATTACATATCTTTTTATTAGATACATTATATAATCATAAGCTTTCCCTGTACATGTTGAATTTTGTGATATGATTTTCTTGATGTGTATTCAATAATGTATCGGATACATTTGATGTAAGTTGTAAATGTATTGTTCTATAGGAGAGTGTTGTAGTAACTTAATTTTATGAATTATGTCAATTTCTCTATTTATAAGACACAATTATTTAAGCATACAATATAGATGGGTATGTATCTTATTGTGTTGTTGTACTTTCTTGTATAATATTTATGTGATACATGAGTTACTAGGCGTTTTGTAAGGTATCTGATATAATTGTAATTATGTATTGGTCAATTCACGAGTCTATTTTGAAATAATTTTATTGCCACCAAGATACAAGAGAATGCTTGGACGATTAAGAGGAAGAAAAATGCAGATGACAAGTGAACAATAAACACAAAAACTGTTGTGGACGTTGTGGGCAAGAAGGTCACAATAGACGAACTTGTTTATTTCCTAAAGATGATTGAGATAGACTTTTTAATAGATATTTTAGAATATATTGATGTTTCACTTTATAATTTTCAATTCAATAATTTTCCACTATAACAAGTATAGACACTTTCATTTTTTACTTCATCCCCTCTCCCTCATCAAATACTAATTTAGATATTATTTTATTTTCTTAAAATATAATTCTAGTCATCCCACTTAACCCTCTGCTTTCAATATTTTTTCCAGTGTTTAGATTTACATATCTAAAATATTCTTTACTTGCCGCCACAAGACTTTTTATATTTTTTATTTGTTTATGTTATATTCGATACACTAGTAGAATTTTTTTTCGAAAAATATATGTACGTTCATATCTAACACAAAATAAGAAAAACGTAAAAAAATAAAATTAGAAGCTAAAAATTAAATAGGATGGGGTAGATTTCTTTAAATAAAATAATATCAATTTCTATTTGGGGGGGGGGGGGTGAGATATAATATTTTTAAAAATATTTTATAAATGATTTTTTAAAAAAAAAAGATGGGTCGTTGCGGTGGAGGGGGTACGTAGAGGATGTGATGGAGTGAGAAAAGAAAAATAATTTAATTTTTGATATGGATAATAATCTTTAATTTTTAATTAATATTAATTTTTTATTATTTAATTTTTATCTAGATAAAATATTTTATTGATGTGGAATGTCATGTGTCAGTTTTTCATATAAAAGAGAGACTGTACTGTACACACCACTAAGGTGTGTTTCTCAAATTAAAAAAAGGATAGTTTAGATATGAAACTCACACTTCTAATATTTTAGGTATGAAACTCAAAAAAAAATAGCTTATGTGTATTTTTGACACTTATCTCTAAATTTTATTAATGTATTTTGTCAAATAATAAAAAGAAAATGACATTAGGGACAAAACATGTTTTCATGTTTCTTGCTCTTAAACATTAGTTTGAAACAAACTGTACACTAGCAATAAAATAAAGTTCGAAATCATCAAAACTATTTTTTTACATGATTTCTTGAATTAATGTTTGCTTAATTTAAAATCAGTCACTTAAAATAAAAAAATAATTATCTCTTTTTTCTTATATCTACTTTAAAATAATGTATTTCTTGCTTTGTGTAGTAATTTTTCCTAAATAATATATTCACATTTCGATTTCTTATTATTATTGTTTTTTCGTAAGAATTCTTTGTAACTAGTTCTTCTTTATTTTGCAGTAATGTTGAATTGTAAAATTTATATACTCCATATATTTTAAATTTGTAAGTGTTTTAATTTTGTGTTGATATTTTTTTATAAACGAAATACTAAGTTGATATGTCATGTTGTTCTCATTTGTTATTCTTTTTTATTTTTGTAAATTCACCATATTTGTTTATTGAATAGATAAATTAATGCATGCATGATTCATGAAATTAATATATAGAAACGAAAGTCTTAAAATTGACAAACCATCAATTTTTTATGTACCTTTTAACTTTTGAATTTAATTTAAAGATAATCACGTCATTTCTATACAACCAGCTCCATCTTAATGCGCTCATCTATCCATGGATGAAGAGGAAGATACAAGTTTATGCATTGTTCTATCTTCTCTCAATGCAACTTTAATTTTCAGGTAATTTGTTGCTTCCCTCTTCAATTTTTGGCTATGACTTCTTCAGATGTTTTCAAGTCGACAGTGTTTTGATTTAATTTTTTATCAGATTTTTTTAATTTAGTTTTATATATATGGCATTGTTAATGTATATTGTCATAATTTCAAATTTATATATTTTGTGATGATTTTAGTTTCGGAAAAGGATAAAAAATGTGTTTAACGTATTGAAAATGACTCAAAAGTGTCCTCCTTTCATCTATTGGATCAAAAATGCACTTTCATTTACCTGTTTGAATAAAAAATGTTCATAGAGTTAAATTTAAGTCTAAAATTAACCATACCTTCAACAGAAGCTGATGTGACAAATATATATTGTTTAGTTAAATATGTGGCATTATTTTATTGGTCCACATATATTAGATCCACTTTCATTCATAATCATATCCATTAACTCTAACTCTAACTCAAATCCAAACCCATTACTCCCACTTTCTTCATCTTTCTTCTAAAAGAAATTATTTGAAATATTAATAAAATAATATCAAAACAATCAATAAAAACATGATGTTCTAAGCAATTCTCTAAAATTCAAAGTCTTTCATGAGCTAATTGGAGATTGAACTCCTCAACTCAACTGTTAGAGACTCCATTTTTTTTAAAAAAAAATGTGATAAACATGGCTTGATTTGATGAATATCTTGCTTCCATGGAAGATTGAATGTATGATTTTTTTTGTTCCCATTTCAGCAAATCCACTTATTATTTTGATAGGTTTTGGGATACAAATTAAATTGCACTTATCTTCATTACCACAAAACTAGTAGGCCAATAACAATGATGTATAGAATTTTTTATAACCTTTTTTCAAAGATTTGAAGTTATAGAAAGAATTTGATAGTATTTTATCAATCGTTCAAATAATTTTATAGAAGAAAAACGAAGATGAATATGAAGAGAAAAAAAGTAAGGTCTTTTAGAAATGAGTTTGGATTGATGGATATGATTGAGAATGAAAATTGATCCATTACATGTGGATCAATAATCATAATGTCAACACATGAAATTTTAAAAATTATTTTTGCCACATCAATTTCTGTTAGAGGAAGGGACATTTTAGGTTGAAATTTAACTCTAAGGCATTTTTTATTCAAATGGATCGATGAAAGAACATTTTTAATCCAATAGATGGAAGAAGGATATTTTTGAGTTATTTCTAATACATTAAAGATATTTTTTATTCTTTTCACTTTTAGTTTTATATACATACTGTGATAATTTTCAATAATTTCATCTAATCCCCCAATTAATAATAGTTTTGGAAAAGGGCATAAAATACCCTCAAAGTATTGAAAATGATATAAAATTACCCTTCATCCACCTATTGGCTCCAAAATGTCCTTTCCACCCACCTATTGGGTCCAAAATACCCTTGTCACCTTTTGATTCAAAATTAACCACTTATTTAACGGTTTTATATTTAAACTATTTAAATATTTTTTTAAATACGTGGCGCTCAACTATTTATTATAATTTAACTTATTAGTGTAATTTATAAATCAATCCGCTACCCACCCATTACTAATTAAATCCCTCTTAATTAATGAAACCGTCATATTATTAATGAAAGATACTGACAATTGAGTGTTTTTAAAAAATATAGAAGTAAATTATCATACATTCAAGTGGCTACATAAAAATCACCGATAAACTTAAAAGTTTGACTATGTTCATCTTAATTATTCTTACGTCTCAATTATGTAATGTTACTTCATAGGTAACTTTTTTTCAAAATAATATATTAAAGTTTTAAAATAAATCATAAATATTTATAAAATTATATTTTAAAAAAAGTGCATGAATTAATTCGTGATGTATTATTTCTTTATCTTTAATCATAAATTTCTAATTCAATTTTGAAAGAAAGTGTCTTCCTAAATAAGCGACTCAACCTAAATTTAATTGGGTCTTCAATTCGGACTCGAATAGTAGTAATCTATAATTTCATCGTGTTTTAGTAGTGTTTATGACGATTTTGATATTATAATTGAATTATTAATTGAGTGAGGTTTAGTTAATAATGAGTGGATAGTGGATTGATTTATAAATTATATTAATAAATTAAATTTATGATTAATAGTTGAACGCACAGTATTTTAAAAAATATTTAAAGAGTTTAATTTTAAAACAACTGAAAAGTTGTCAATTTTAAACCCAAAGGATAGCGGTAGCTGAGGCAAAACCCGCTTTCTTCGCTCAGCGAATGAGAGAGAAAGTCAGAGGATGGAATACTTTAAGCTGTTGTCATCAGATCTTCTCAACTCTTCTTTTCTATTTCTCGATATGTATCTCCTAAATTTTCTGATTATATGTGATGTTTATTAATATTTTTGCGTTCAAAGAGAATAGTATACGTTCTTAAATTTTGTTGATTTTCTAGGTTCTAAAAACGAGATTATGGGATTTCATGTTCACTTATATTTGCTAATTGATTATTTGGAGTTGTGTGTGATTTAGGGGAAAAGAAATTATGAGGTTATTTTTTTAATTCGTAATTTCAGTTAGACTTTGTTAGTTTAGGGAAATAAGCATGTTGCTTTTGCATATTTTTTGTTTGAGTCTCTAGCTGTTTGTAAAAATTCTCTTTAAATTCTCTAATGTAGCTTCATATTTTTTTTAAAATTATCTGGAAATCTAATAAATTGATGTTTTCAGTTCCATGAGAAAGATTAGGGAAGAACGTTTAACATTATAAACATGGGTCTTAATGAAGTTGTAATCTTGCCTAAAAACGTCATGAATAGCAAATTAGCCTCTTGTTTCTACTGAGAATTGGCATTTATCAGTTGTTAGGACCCTGCTGTGGGTAGACTTTGACATAAATCTATTGCGTCAATATTCTTGCAAATGCTCTCTCCCGTAATTTTTCATTTTTCGCTTCAATTTCCTCTTAATTGCGAGTGCATGCTTCCATTGAATTATTGGGACTTATGGAGGGACTGTTTAGTCGATTTGCTGCGCTAACTTTACCAGATCCAAAACTATTACAATATGTGTTCTTTACTTCAATGTTACAACTACATAGTTTTTTTCCCCTTTTGGACTTTTTCCTTTTTTGAATGCTCTGCTTGGGCTTATGGAAAATGATATATGGTTTTTGTGGACGTTGTTGTTGTTCTTTCAATAAATTTTTATGTCACCAGCCAACTATATACTGCAATTGGAAGTGTTCTCTGCGAATTCTCAAACTTGGCTTTGAACAATTTTCACATAGCAGACCTAATAGCTCCAACCAATTTTAAATGAGATCTAATCCTAATTGTGCTTGATCATGTATTTCTTCGAAATCGGTCGAGGGTGTGGCTGGAATGATGAAATATTCACTGCCTTCTGAATAACGTTGAACAAGAATATGCACAGCGTCTATGCTTTAACAAGATAAGATACGCCACAGTTCATCATACTTCATTCTTACTACATATTGTTGTTCATTTGGTATTCCAAACATACTTAAAACAAACTTTGAA